ATATAATTATTTTATGTAATTAAATGTGATTTAAAAAATGTTTATAAACAAAGAATTTGTGTTTTAATATATAATAAATTAATAAAGTTAAAATTTATATACAAATCTATAAAAAAAACTGTATTTTAGAGGAACATAAAAAGTGGACGTCGTTTGCAGGTTATTTTGTATGCATAAATAATTAAAATTCACGAAAATATGTCCGCCGTATAGAGGTGTCCATTATAGGAAGTTCGATTGTATTTATAAAGTATATAATCGAACAATACAATTTATTACGAATTAATTTTAATAAATATAATTAAAATTTTAATCCTAATATTGAAATTAACAATTTATTTATATTAAATTTATTTAAACTGAATAGAGAAAAAAATTGTTTTTTTTTTCTTTTTTAAAAAAAAGGAAGTGATCTCATTTGACTTTTAGCAAGTTATAAATAACTGACAATTGTTACATAAAGTCATCATTCATGAATCCTATTGTAACATAATACTTTAAAAAAATATTTTTAGTGTTATATAAAATATGATTTTTGTATAGTTAATTTTTATAAACCCTTCAACATTTTTTGTGAAGTTATTTTTAGCTTAATGAATAAACTAAATAAAATATTTTTTCTTTATATAAATAAAAAAAATAAATCAACAAACTAAAAAATAAATCTATAAATTTTTGTTAATGATTTTTAGTAAAAAAAAATAATAAAATTACAGAAAAACACATCAATCATGTACAACTTATTAAAAAAAATAAATTATTTAATTTTATAAAGTAGCTTAGCGAGTAATAAATTTAAATTTAATTTAATCAATTTTTACTTACTTTCTCGATTAAAAATTAAATACATATTTTCTATATTTACGACTTTAAATTAAGCCGTTTACAATCGATCCTTCTGATAAGCATCTTTAAAAATACAGTAAAACCTCGATTTAGTGCCCCCCGAAATAGCGCAACTCTAGTAAAGTGCTAATGGATATTTATAGCCGAATCTTCTTTATAATGCAGAACTTTTTAAGTTTTTAAATATACAATTTTGCATTGAAAATACATTGTTATCACCAAATTACTTCAGTTTAGCGTTACACTCGATTTATTACCGATTTCAGAGGCAGACAGTGGCGTTAAATCGAGATTTAATCGTAATGTATAATATAAAGTGGAGGAAAGAAGATAAAATTTATGTCTAAACAATGATCTACAAAGGACAATTATAACTTAAAATAAAAGTAAAAAAAAAATTAATTGAAAAACGTTTTATAACAAATTTATTTAATTATTAAACTATATAATTAAATAGTTTATAAATTACTTAAGTGATATAAATTATAAGATACTGGACGTAAACAAGCAGTTATACGTAAATAAACATTACCATATGTGATATATTTAAATACATAATAAATGAAACAGGAGTTAAATTTTGTAAACAACAAAGTCTAGGAAATTTTCCACTTTTAAATGTAAACAAATATACATAAAATATTTTTCAAACAGAACTGGAATAAAGAATAATTTAAGTTTCGTGATATAAACAAGTAGCATTATTTAAGTAATATTTGAGAACTCATAAGAGAACAATACTAAAGAAATCAGTGAAATTGTCTACAGGCACATAAAGAAAAACAAAGAATAATTCTTCTAAAAATATAAAAACGGAAAATATCTTCATAAATTATATTTTACTATAAATTTTAGATGAAATTTTTTATTCAAATCTTACTTTTTATTATAGTTTTACATGATATAACAAATATCATTTACACTTATTTTTTTTTTATATTATAAACTCAATAAAATATTATTTTAAATTCGACGAATATTCTGTTTAATTTTATTATTTAAACTACAAACTTGAACTTATATATAGTTTATAAAGCTTATATATAATTTATATGTTTACTATCGGTTTACCTATATCAGGTATAACCTTATTTGTACGTTAATATATAGGCTACAAATATTAAATGCAATGTAGAATTACCGCAAAGTACATAATACGGAATAGTTAAATATGTTATATTATACATTACTTAGATTAAAATACACATTTTCTAAAGTAATTAAAGTTTAAAAATTTAATACAATTTCATAAAAATAAAATTAGAATAAATCAATTTTTTACATTAATTACGCCTTTAACATTCCAAAAATTAAAGAAAATAATAAAAAGAAATGATAACTAAGTACGGTTTCAGATTACTCGGTTTTTATATCGTAACATTTTATAATTAATAAATTATGTTAAACATCTCATCAATAAACTTGTCAAGGTATTCTAGTTGTATAAGAATGTTGAAGATGAAAACCGTAAGATGTCACCTGTTCCAGTTACAGTATATAGAGCAAAGAAACGAGTATGACAGTGATCAACTGTACATCTCTGCAGGAATTGAATTCAAAACTCAAAACCACATATCTCATAGAAGAGAGTAAGTGCACCTCCATTGAACCAAATTGTGGTGGTGGCGAGAGTAATACTTCAAGTAGAGAAAAACTTAGAGAACGAAATGAATGTTCTTTTTATAGATGACCGGTCCTGGTGCAGCTGCCCGTTTCTGTAGTGTGGTGCATTCTTCCTAGATCGGAACTTCTTTCTTCTTTCTAAACATTTCTTGGCATATGCCAAAAGGCGTTCCAGTGATTCGTTGCCAGTACATATTGAGCAATGTCCCTTGTTGTTTTAACTATGTCAAGATGTTTTAAAAACCTATTTTTGGATAGCTGAGATTTTTATTTATAAAATATATATATATATGTATGTGTGTGTGTGTGTGTTACTTATAATATTATAAATGTATCAGAAAAAAAATTTTTCTAAAATTTAACATAGTCAATAGTTGAATCGACTTTATTTGCATTCTTTAAACATTCGGCAGGAAATTGAATGGAGAAAGTTAATACAGCGTTACTGTTTTCATGATTATTCTACTTAATTACATTTCCTGTTTGGAATACTTAAAGAACCGTTTCTATTAAGTTCTTCAAAAGATGAGTTTAACTAGAAATTCTCATTTTCATAAAGAACTTTTGCTACTTAGAAACAATCAAGGAAATTAAATGTTGGAAGTAGAATAAACGTATATATATATATATATATAAGTAATCAAAAGAAAAAAAAACTAACAAATAGGCCTTTGGGATATTCAGTTTGAATGGTAATAGTGTGTAGTCTTTCCAGTACTGCTTGATCGATAGCCAAGATGCATAGCGACATTGCGGTCAACCTCCTGTTAGAAAGAACAAGCTTTCCGGTTAAGGGAAATATCCAGAATGCACACTTCTCATTGCCTCCCAATTTATCTCTCAACCGGATCTTAAAATTTTCTGTTGTCTATAAATACACGGAGCATTAGTCATAACTGCGTTGATACATCGCTGTGTAAGGCTACCGAAACGATCCAACGTGATATTGAACAGTACAGATAATGAAACGACCGATCCTTATTGGCCAATCGATTAATCGATTACATTTTAGTAATTGAGTATTAGCAAATAAGGGCGAAGAGTGTTTTTTTATTATACGCAAAGAAGCATCACTCATTCACTGAATAAACTAAAACCGAGTAACTCCTACTCATCAGGTAAATATCACAAATGGGTTGTGACGTAAATGCACAGGTCATTTAAATACTATTCAATAATTTCCTTTTAGCAGTCAGAAGTGTAGTACCTGGAAGCATGCCAGACACATTACAATGCTGAAGGTAAAAGTTGTACCGTTACAAATCGTCATTCTTTCCAATTAAAACAATTGCCTAACTATAAAATATCGCCAATTGTGGAAAGAAGAATAATTTCCGAAAAATCGTAGATAAAACACCAATTACGTGAAAATTTTTTCAAAAAAAAACAAAATTATCTTCGCTTTTATTCCGTGTTTTAGTTTGAATACTTTACTACGTGGCAGGAATGTAAAATAGAGAAGTTTGACAGTTAGGAGCGCGTGATATGGTCAATGTCGATTCACCTAACGCCTCTTACCATTAACGTAAAGGAACTAAATTTTCCCTATTTATATACATACATAACATATATTTTTAATCAAATTGACTGTGGTCATTCACCTTTTGTTAACAAGCAATAAAAAAATAACAGGTATTGTGTCAACAATGAAGCGTGTTGAAATGAAAGTGGCGAGGTGGTTGTCTGCACTTGCCTTTTAAGTATTAATCGCTATAACTTTATAGAGAAAAGAGGAGGAGAGAGAGAAAAAAAATCGATCAAAATTAAAATATAGCGTGTATATTTATATTTTAAAAATATAAATATTATACTATAGTATCATTTATAAATTTACTGAATATTTAGATGCAATTTATCTTCTCTTTAGCTATGATAATTACTAGCAATGATTAAAATTTTCGTTTGATAATGATGTTAACACACATTTGACTAAATCATTTCTCCTTAATTGCTGAATAACAAACATCGAAATATGTTTCATGTAAAATTCATAAAATATTTTATAATCATAAATCTTTACAGACATATATATAAATATGTCTGTAAAGATTTATAATCATAAATCTTTACAGACATA